GGATGGCTACACTCCTGAAATCTCAATGAAGATTGGTGGAGATTCACTACAAACATCAACTTGGTCTGAGCTTATACAGGTTTCTTTCTATTTGATCATTTGTTTTATTTTCTATTCATGGTCTTGGTTTGTGTTTATGATTTTCAAGCTCTGTGTCTGTGTTTTTCTAACAGTTGAACTTCTTGAAGCATTTTCTTGGTGGTGGGTTTGTTAAGCACATGCAGGTTGGTTTTCTTGACCTGTCCTCGCCTCTGATGTGATGTTTTGCTTTCATATTTTCCTTCTCAGTGTTGCTTTTATATACTGTTAACAAGTAATTTTGTTTATATAGGATAATGAATTCCTTCATGATGTCTTTGGGTTCACGCCAAAGAGAAAGCATATCCTTGGTGTTGAACATCAAATGTCAAGTGGTGAAAAGGTCAGTCAACTCTCCTTTTCAACTTGGCTGTCTATGACAGTCTTCAATCTGGAATTTTTTTATCTGTCCTAAAGATGTGAGACTGTCTTATGTCTACACCATCTAAACTATTCATCTTCTTGAGTGTCAATAACTCAATACAGTATTTGTTTTTCTTATATTTGGGATATTTGCCTAGGTAAACTTGTTTAGATGGAAATTTCAATTTGATTAGTATTGTGCTAAAACTTGGACATTCTTTAAACCATACTTCCTTTTTATGATAATATTTGGTTGTTAATCCATTTGTGTATTTTTTTTGTTCATATTCAAGTCTAAACTCTTTCTTATCACAGCAAATATAGCAATCTCCACCTCCAGAGCCTTGAAATAATTCCCCCCTTACAAATCTCTTGAATTGAGGCACTGATCAGCAGGTCCAGAATGCAAAGCATTCCTAAGAAATCATGGTGTAAAAATGGTGGCTGGAAAATAGACAAACATTTACTTTTGCTGACGACCTCATTCTTTGTGCCTGTTTTTTCTTCCAAGATATTGATACATTGCATTCCTTGTTACAGAGGATGTTCCGGTCTCCAAACTCAGTCCTCAATAAAGCCAGGACCCAGTTTCTGAACAAGCAGCGGATGCTATCTAAGGTTGGTTCTTTTACATTCAGTATAGTTATTGCACTGGCTTTTCTGGTCACAATTGCTCCTTTTGGTGTGAGAAACATTTCAAAACTGAAGCACCACTGCGCTTTATTCTATATAATTGTTTATTTTCTTGGCATTTTACTTTTACTGGTTACACTTCTTTTTTGGGTGCAAGAATATTTTTTTAAAAAATTTCCCTTGACTTTATTAATTGCTTCTGTGTTGACCCGTCGCTTTCCTGGATTCTGCAGGATAGAAACGTTGGGCATTTTGCTGTTGGTATGGGCGATGAAGATATGTGAGAAAAGGCTTCCACTGGTCATTTATCAGACTGTAGGGTTAATGTTATCGACATCTGTACGAACGAAAGGAATGGATTTTGGGGAAGGCTATGTTGATTTATATACACAGATTATTGCTATCCCAAGTTGAAAGATCAGATCATTCATTTTAATTGTACTGTGTAGTCCTTGCTTGCAATTTACTGCTGAATGTGTTTCCGTTGATTACCATCATTCATTTTATTTTTTGCAAATGGTTTTATTAGATTGATCCATTTCCTGCACCTATTCCTTGAGGGACTAACAAAAAAGAAATTTTATGGATTTAACGCAAGCATGAAACAGCTGGCATCTAGTTGTCAGGATGGACCGTAAGTTACGTATGACGTGAGATAGTGGGTGGTTAAGATGGGGTTTAAGAGGTATGTGGTATTTTCGGTGTGTGGATTGAGAGGAATGTTTTTTACATGGTTTTCAGTTCGATTTTCTATGTCCACTTTTACTAATGATCATGGACTCTAAAGCTTGAGTATTGAATAGCGAGTGCCTCGCTACATAGGTTGTCTAGGGATACTTCCTGGTTAGCCTGGTTGGATTTGATAATTTCATTAAGATTATTTTGATATCCATCACTTAGTATCTCAAGAAATAAAAACCATTAAAAGCATAACTCTCAATTTATCACGATGCGGCTAACACCATTTTTATCATAGGAATAGGAAGGAAATAAAAATCTTTGGCTATTAAAAATGTTTTATAACTCAATTTTTTATTTGAACCTAGATCTTGAAATGTCCGGTCAACTAGACATAATTACCATTATTACATCATTTTATTTTTAAATGCTTAAAGGTCACCCCTCTGATAAACTATGTATAAACTCTCTAGATAAACATTTGATTAGCGGATCTATAATATTTTTTTTGTTTTATATAGTCAACAAAAAATAATTTTATTTTAGAGCAAGTGTTTAATAATATTATTTCTACAATATATATGTATAACTTAGTGTTATACATACTACTTTGTACCTTTTCAATTCTAAACTAATTGTTACAAAGGACACAAATTGTTGAGACTGATTTTGATCAATATGGAATATTCTTAAAGAAATTTCAAAGCCATTTGACTTCCTTTCCAACTTTATCAAAAGCAATAAACTTTGATTTTATTGTGGATCTTATAATACTTGCTTGTTTAGAGGATTTTCATGATATAACAACTCCATCAAATGTAAAGATATATTCGCTAATTTCAAATTCTTAGTGTCAAACATCTAATTAGTATCACTCAACCTTTCAAATGTTGTCGAGTAACTATTATAGTGTAGCTCATAGTCAAAGGTGCACTTTAAATATTTAAGTACACTTTTAATTGCTTTTCAATTATCTAAAATTAAGTTATTGATAAATCTGCTCAAATTGCTAACCAAGTATGCAATACGAGGTCTTGAGCAAATCATAGCAAACATCAAGATTATTTCAATTAGCCTATTACCTTACCTTTATTTTTGGATAGATAAATATTATTTTTAGATAGATAAACACTTATATTCATTTTATTGTCACCTTTACAAAATTTATCGAGAATTTTCACCATATAATGAGATTGAAACAATGTCAATTCATCAGATTTCCTAGCAATGTTCATTTCTATTATGACATTTGTAACACCCAAACATTTCATGTTAAACTTATTAGTTAATATTTTCATAGTAGACTTAGATCATGTTATCATTAATGTCTAAAATAAAAATGTCTTCTATATAAAGATATATAATTATATAACTTTTATTTGTATTTTTTTATATAAATTTATTTATCAGATTCATTGATTTTTAACTCATTTGACAGAATAACATTATCAAAATTTTAACTTCATTTTTTAAGTGCTTGTTCCAAATCATATAATGATGTAACAAGCTTATAAACTTTCTTTTCTTGGCCATTAACAAGAAATCCCTCATGTTGATACATGTAAATTTCTTAATCAAAGTCATCACATGTAAACTTTTTAACAAATTAACCATTTAATAAAGTTTTTTTTACACTTATCTAATATATTCCAAGTTTGTTAATAGTTGTGATGACTATTAATGTTCATATAGAAACTATTCTAGATATAAACAAATGTGTTAGAATAGTCCATGCTTTCTTGTTGTTTGAATTATTTAACAACAAATGTTGCTTTTTATTTGTCAATAGTTTCATCTAGTTTCATCTTTCTTTTAAAAATCTATTTATAGTTTAATGGTTTACTTTCAAGTGAAAAATCTACTAGTTTTAATATGTATGTTTATTCATATTGAATTTAATTTCATTATTGATTGTCTCCTACTAATATAAAGTTTTGCCTTAAAATATCTTGAGATTTATTTTTTAACAAGCATGTTAGTAAATGAATATATTTTTAAATAATATAGTATTTTTTGATTTTTTTATAACATTAAAATGAATATTCTTAACATTTTATTTATATACAAGAAATCAATATGCACTATTATTGTAAACATATCGGATAAATACAAAATTTAAAATTTTAAATTTTATTTTTATTTTTTTTAGATGAAGTATTATCACTTATACAAAACACCCACATATTTTAAGGTGTTTGTATCTTTCCGCGATTTATCAAGTAAAGATAACTCTCGAAAAAGAAATCTACTCATTCAAGGTGGTATCCATCAAATTTGAGCTAAATTGTCATTGTAAAGGATTGGTTATCGTCTTGCGACTTGACATATTTCTTAGTTTATCACTTGATTTATGCAGGTTTATTGTCTCGCGGTTTTTTATATAAAATATTGGTGACAAAACTAAAATAAAATGCTCACGAAGAAAAAGAAAAAAAAAACAAATTAAATGCTCATGTTATCAAGCTAAATGTTGACCCCCTCGGCACTGGTTGCTGACTTGCAACATGGGATGCTACCAGTTAACTGAGATGAATCTGACTTGTCAGCAATCTGCATGACTTGGATTGACATTTGGTGTGATGAGTCAGCACGTCGACAATCCATCCAGGGGAATGTTTAAGCAAGAACGAAAACATTTTAACGAAGAAATTAGATTTTTGTAGAAACACAAACCACTTCTATATATGAGTTTCATTTTCGAAGACTTACGGGAGAGTTGAAGAGTTTTAACAAAATATATATACATTCCAAGTGGTCAAGTTTCTAAATCCACGCTTCCCACCTCTGCTAACATATCTTTCCCAAGTCTTTTGACCATGCCAAATTTCATGTAATTAAACGTGTAAATTTACCATGACAGCAAACTTGAAGCAATCCTCCTCCTTTTCTGAAACAATCCATTTGATATCAATGCCAGTAAGGTTATTTTAATCTGAAATGTTCACACAATTTCCTCTAAAGAAATTGGAGAGAGAAATGTCCTCAGACTTCATCAGAACTGTTTCGGGTGAAAGTAAAAAAATAAAAAGGCATGGATTCTGATGAGCTGTATCAATGTTTTAATAAAAAAGAAGAAGAAGGAAAGTCTTCATGTTGAACGAGGTATTTTATTGTACAGCATGATGGGAGCTGAATTATCATCCATCAATGACCATAAGCAAAAGCTGTCGCCTGCTTCTACAAACATGTGATGGTGAAAGTCATTGGTTTAATAAAGTAACAAACGCAAGAAGCAGATCGGGCTGGATTGCTATAATATAGAAACACGTTGGTTGTTTTTACTCCGCGTGATATATTGCAGGCAGGGATTTATTTATTATAGTAGATATACTTATTCTTTTCTCATTTCTAAAATGTTGATAAATTAACGTTAAAAAAAGGTTTCCAGCAGCTCCTTCCACGCTCATAGAAACATAGAGAGCTTCTGGTTGAGTCCATTATCTATTCCATTGTAAGCCAGAGGTGCATACATCCATAGATCATCCGAGCTCAAAAGCTGCAAATAATTAATAAGATTGAGCTTAACATGTGTATTCAGATAGAGATTGATGATTTATTTGGCAGCAGTGAGGGACTAATATGAGCCTTTACCTTGATTTGAAGCTGCAAAAACTTTACGTAATGCACAGCCTCTTCTAGCATCGTGCTGATATCAACCTTGGTTCCGTTAGGGACAAGATTCTGCAAGATTTTCAGTCTCTCGTTTATCCTCTCCCTTCTTTTCTGCAGGATTGTTATAAAGACCATGAATAAAATGCTCAAAAGATTGCTCCTTGTGTGCTAGCATAAGTGCGCGCGCGCGCGTTTTCATATGAAAGGAATAATTAGTATCTTACCCTTGCATAAAGGCTCTGGGGGTCTGTGGCAGCTCCCCTAGCAGCTCTTGTTTTTCCATTGGAATTGTTAACTCCAGAAACCTTGGAATCAGAATCCTGAGAGGCATTGTCCTCATCTGAACTACAACTGCTGGAACTTTGACCGTCTGGTCCAGCATTACTCTCTTCTTCATCGTGGCTAATATCTGGTGCATTCTTTTGATTTTTTTTTGACTGCACAACCTTCCTACTCTTTTGCACCTGCATTATAAATCATAATAATTTAGAAACTAGTACAGCAAGACAAAACTCCACCATAAAAAGAATTACTGTAGCCTTGAATCCATGTACTCACATTTCTTGTAACCCGGGCTTTTTGCTTCATGTCGTCCAATGTGTTGGCTATTGGTTCTGGAACATCTAGCTTCCTTTTGAGCTGCAATCCCTTGGCCAGAACATCATTAGCTGCTGGCTTCAGATTATCATCTGAATCTCCTTTTTTGTCACCGCTCATATCTCCATTCATACAGGCAGTTTCTGCCACTGCAATTTCAGGAAAAAGTGGCATAAACAAGCCAATATTTTCCTCATCCATGATTGAAATATCCATGGACATGGAGTTATTTTTCGTAGCTTGAATGGGATTAGAATCATTGAACAAGTAGGATTCATGGCTGGAATAGGGAAGAAATACACTACTGCTAGAAATACTGTTATTACTACTTTCTTGAGAATCAAAATGCAAATTGGGTTTGGGAGTATGCCAACAATAAAACAAACTCTCGTCCTCAGCCATGCTCGCCTCCGATTCAGGAGCAGGGAAGAAAGCTGATGGGATTGTAAAATGCAATCCTTCATCAGTATCCTGAAGAAAAGAGCACTGACCAAGTAATTCTGGGGTGCTATCAGGCTCTTCCATGGAGAACATTCCGCTGAAGTTCCATAATTCTCCATCAGGAAAGGCTTCCGTAGCCTGCGTATTCATTTTACAATTAGAAGCTGTGGAGAAATCAAGAACGAGGCTCTTATGTTTCTGTGGTGACGCCTGCTAGTTAATTGAAGCTCGATTTCGCTTGAGAGAACCAAAAAACTAGGGACAGATTTATACCCATGCACCATAAAAGAAGGTCACTAGCAGGATTGACTTCATCTTCTATATAAAAATTCTAAATTTCTAATGATTACCCGGGTGCAGGTCCTAATTCTCTGTAATTGAACTCAGGTGTCCATTGTGGGGCCAATACCAGGCAAAGTACAACTAAGACGGCACCAAGTTCATGCAATGATAGATTAAAATATCAGAACAGCTTCAAAGCATCTTATTTCTGATAAACTGCAATTAAGATGACTAAACTGTCATTAATTTACTCTCTAAATGACAAATGTAGTTAGGCAGAGAATGAGAGCATGCGTTCTGAGAACTTGAAAATGTCAGAACGTGGGGCTGTCTTCTACTCATCTTGAATATAATAAAGAGGAAGAATTCTGTTGGAGAATAAACAAAACGCGGCCATAGGACGGCCTGATCGTGGAGATGACTGCGACATTGCCATAAAAAAAACGCAAAACCCGACACGTTAACCGTCGAACTCGTTCTTTGTCTCCTCAATTGCTGCTTGAACCTAATCAATGTTCCTCAGCTCAGTGTTTATATATATATATATATTATAGGCAATTTATCAGTTTAATTACAGCTCCACTCAATACACAATTTAGTTACTATCTTGTAAGTTAATAACGCTATTTACCAAAAACGTACATTAATGGGAATAGTGCCACACTTACAAATCTGAGCAGCTTTCACCGCCATGAATCGCAAAACCACCAAACAATGGGTGATGAGTGGCTTCAGCCTTGTTGTCCGTGGTTTACGTTCCACCTCAACTTAACAACTGTCTTTGTCCATGGTTTTCTTCTTATTCACTGCAGATTGTTTATATTATTAACCTTATTATCATATCCATCATGAGTACGATTGATTTAAAACGCTACATTTACTGTGCTAGTGCTCTTCTCGTGCATTTGACAATACATAGATGAGAATCTTGACGAAATAAAATAGATGATCAGAATCGTCTTCAAGAGAAAACAAAAGAAAATGAGAGTAATCAACATATCTTTTAGCTTAGTGAAGAAAATTAAGCAGATTACAATGCAATGTCTCCAAATAAACAAAAGTTATACACCTCTATATATTCTGGACAAGAACAATCTCTCTATGAAAGCCCAAAAAAAACAGCTATCACACCTTCACCACCTCCTTAAATATAACTGAAGCCCCATATTTGCCCCTCATAGCAATCCCTTTAGATTACCTTAACAGAGCCATGAGCACACCCTTAATTCCGGCAATTGATGCGCATGATTTCCTCTTGTCAGACAGGGACGGTTTCCTATGTACGTTGCTTTATTTATTGTGCTTACGTGAAACTAAAGTTCCATGTGTATATTCAACAGGTATTGGCTGTGCTTTTCAAAATCATCACCGCCATTGCACCAACCTTGCAAGAACTAAAACCCTAAAAATCCCAAGAAATTGGAATTTTAAAGAGACAACGATGGAGAGAATAAAATCTACAAATAACAGCACATAGTGGAAAAATAAAAACCTTAGAGATGTGATCTTGTTGCCACCCATTAATTAACAATATGCTGGCTAGAAGGACAACTATTTCTGCTTTCATCAAACTACTACCTGATGGGCTAACAAAAACAAAATGAATACCAATTTCATTTGGGCCAACCCAAATTGATAGGGTTGAGAAGATGACCCTTCTGTTTGGGCCTAAACCCAAATAACACCAACCAAACAAAAACAAAATAGAGAGAACAGAGAAGAGAAGAGAAGAGAAGGAGGGATATTGAAAAAATAGCATGAAATCGAGGCAAGGAAAGAAAAAGAAAAGAAGAATTAAAAAAAAAAAAAGACACATTAGAGCTGCCATCAGCTCATGTGTTGTATTCTTGAAAAGATTTTATGAAGATAAATTCAATTAAATCGAAGAAAAGCCATCTTTGAAGCTGGAGGTGAGCCACATGCGTCTCTAAAAAAGAATTGGACGTGACTCACATGTTGGCATATGTGTTATATGCACAAGCTAATTTCCTTTTCTATCCTCTTTCAGTCTTTAGTTTCTTTAAAAACTCTACAGATCATTCATTAAATTTTTTTGACAGATAGAATGCAATGCATAGAAAATAAAAAAAAATATATTATGAGATGAATGCTTGCGGCTGTTCAACTCTCTAATCCCCATGCTCGGTAGCCCAAGAAATTGCTCTCCAGCCCAAACACTCGTTCCAATTCATTGCCTCAACAAGCTCCACATGAATTTTCAATGACTAGCAGATACCACAACGCAGTATTACAACCTGTGCTTACTTATAACTTTCTTGTTAATTATTATCTTCCGTGAACTTGTCTTCTCAATGAGCATCAATCACTTGTGAGTGCCAACCCTCCCCACCATTTGCATAATAATACATAACAACCAATAACTCATTTTTACATATAAAAAAAAACAATTATTTTTTATTATTATCCCCTACAAGTGCACATTTTATCTAGTCAGCTCATGGGATCAAGGTATATAAATACCTTAGGTCACTGGATAAACACACAAGGCCAACATGAGTTTATAATATTCACTTTTTAAAACTCTTGATTTATACTCTCCTTTTCTCATTTAGTTAATTGACTTAAGTATCTCTTGATATCTTTGTCATATTCTTCTTCTTTTTTTATTTAGTTAAGTGACTTAAACATCAAAATATTATTTTTGCAGAAAAGCCAGAAACGATCGACCTATACTTCAACTTCAGACGCGGCCATGAAAAAGCCCATATTAATTTAAGGTTTTTACAACTTTATCCCTAACGCAATATTATTTTGTCTTTGATTACCGTTAAGATCTTAGAGAGCCTCACGTCTTTCTTTTAATCTGGTCTTTATATATACTTGTAAATTTCATTTGGCTAGCTTTTGCATATCAAACTAATTAATCCTTCCATCTGTTTTAGACGGATCATTCTCGTTAATAAAGTTCTTACATGAATATACACGTGCAATTTGGAGTTCAAGCTTTTTCGCTTTTGGATCTAAACCTAATTTTATTCCATGTAAATGCATCAACACCAACATGTTAATTTGATCCAATATACAATGGATCGTATAAGATGAAATAGATTGTGTAATATAATGATTCATTAATTACATCCGTATATTTGTTTTCGTAATTTTTTAATTGTAATGGAATGGATAATTACAAATGAAATGACTAATATCAGTTTAATTACAGCTCCACTCAATACACAATTTAGTTACTATCTTGTAAGTTAATAACGCTATTTACCAAAAACGTACATTAATGGGAATAGTGCCACACTTACAAATCTGAGCAGCTTTCACCGCCATGAATCGCAAAACCACCAAACAATGGGTGATGAGTGGCTTCAGCCTTGTTGTCCGTGGTTTTCGTTCCACCTCAACTTAACAATTGTCTTTTTCCATGGTTTTCTTCTTATTCACTGCAGATTGTTTATATTATTAACCTTATTATCATATCCATCATGAGTACGATTGATTTAAAACGCTACATTTACTGTGCTAGTGCTCTTCTCGTGCATTTGACAATACATAGATGAGAATCTTGACGAAATAAAATAGATGATCAGAATCGTCTTCAAGAGAAAACAAAAGAAAATGAGAGTAATCAACATATCTTTTAGCTTAGTGAAGAAAATTAAGCAGATTACAATGCAATGTCTCCAAATAAACAAAAGTTATACACCTCTATATATTCTGGACAAGAACAATCTCTCTATGAAAGCCCAAAAAAAACAGCTATCACACCTTCACCACCTCCTTAAATATAACTGAAGCCCCATATTTGCCCCTCATAGCAATCCCTTTAGATTACCTTAACAGAGCCATGAGCACACCCTTAATTCCGGCAATTGATGCGCATGATTTCCTCTTGTCAGACAGGGACGGTTTCCTATATACGTTGCTTTATTTATTGTGCTTACGTGAAACTAAAGTTCCATGTGTATATTCAACAGGTATTGGCTGTGCTTTTCAAAATCATCACCGCCATTGCACCAACCTTGCAAGAACTAAAACCCTAAAAATCCCAAGAAATTGGAATTTTAAAGAGACAACGATGGAGAGAATAAAATCTACAAATAACAGCACATAGTGGAAAAATAAAAACCTTAGAGATGTGATCTTGTTGCCACCCATTAATTAACAATATGCTGGCTAGAAGGACAACTATTTCTGCTTTCATCAAACTACTACCTGATGGGCTAACAAAAACAAAATGAATACCAATTTCATTTGGGCCAACCCAAATTGATAGGGTTGAGAAGATGACCCTTCTGTTTGGGCCTAAACCCAAATAACACCAACCAAACAAAAACAAAATAGAGAGAACAGAGAAGAGAAGAGAAGAGAAGGAGGGATATTGAAAAAATAGCATGAAATCGAGGCAAGGAAAGAAAAAGAAAAGAAGAATAAAAAAAAAAAAAGACACATTAGAGCTGCCATCAGCTCATGTGTTGTATTCTCGAAAAGATTTTATGAAGATAAATTCAATTAAATC